CAAAGAATTACCTTGCCTTATTGCTACTGAGTTCTAGTAATATATCCTCTAAGATGGCAAGCTTGCCAACAACCATGTGAGGGGCCTGGAGGTGAACCCAGAGCAGGTGAACTCTCAGATGAGACCACAGGCAACCTCATGAGAGATGGATGGGCTGAGGCATTCAGGTCGGCCAGGCCCAGGTTCTCGACCAACCATCACTGGGAGATGATAAATGTCTGCTGCGCTAAGCTCAAAAGTTTGAAGGCAATTTGTTACGTAGTAACAGATAAATAATATGGACGTCAAATACAACTTATTCATGGGCACTGTTGGAGGGTCTTTGGGGAGACTGCCTGCCAGTAGCCGGTCAGCCAAACTGACTGTGTGGTGTTGGCATGGAACTAGACTGTAGGTTTAGATTCTAGCTTTATAGCCTGATTGCCGGGCAATTCAGACAAATTACTTATATTCTGCGTGCCTCCGGCTCCTCATCCATAATGTAACAAGAATGGGCAGTCGCTACTTGAAAGACAGTTACAAGAACGAAAGACCTTTCCATACCCTTAACACGCTGGATGGAGTAAATTTCACTCTACCATCATTGTCCGGAGGGGTTGTTGCTGAAGAAAGACCACGAATGGCATCTGGATCAAGATGTAAAAGAGAATACGGGTGTACCGGCTGGTTTGTGTGTCAGCTTGACACGAGCTAGTCATCACAGAGAAAGGAGCCTCAGTTGAGAAAATGCTCCTTTGAGATCCAGCTGTAAGGCCTTTTCTCAGTTAGTGATCAGTGGGGAAGGGCCCGGCCCACTGGGGATGGTGACACTCCTGGACTGTTGGTCCCAGGTTCTATAAGAAAGCAGGTTGGGGAAGCAATGGAGGGAAACAGTAAGCAGTACCCCTCTATGGCCTCTGTCGAAGTTCCTGGCTCCAGGCCTTGCTTGAGTTCCTGTCCTGACTTCCTCCAATGATGGGCCATATATGATATGGAAGTGTAAACCAAATAAATCCTTCCTTCCCCAACTTCTTTCTTGGTCATGGCGTTTTATTGGAGGAATAGAAACCCTATCTAAGAAAGTGGGTTAGACTCACCCAATCCTTGAAAGCTGAGCCATCTGTTTTGGAAGAGAGAATCCCTCTCTGAAGACTCAGGGGCAGATGAGGGCAAGGTTGAATGTTAATCTCAACTGAAACATGGCTTGTTTTAGTCCCTCAGAGCCTTGACAGAAATTGCAGGATGTAGAAACTCTTATTTATTTTTTAAAGATTGAATCCATCTTTCAAGAATCATCTACTTTAGAGCATGGCTCCTTGGTTACTCTCGACTTGGCTTGTTGCTGCTCTGGGATAATAGTTCAAAGAAGCCATTTAGTCACACAAATCCTGACAGCCTACCTTTGGATAGGAGGTGTCTGGGATGGGCTCCATGGGGAAGAGTATCTGGTTGAGAACACGAGAGCTGAGCGTGTTGAAAACAGGACTTATTTTCCTAGGGAAATGCATGCATTGCATTTACAGCGGGGGTTGCTATATTCTTGCTCAAACACCACTTGTGGAAAAGAAACACTGTGGCAGAGGCCTTTAAACCCAGCATTTGGGAGGCTGAGGCAGGCAGATCTCTGCAACTTTGAGGCCAGCCTGGTCTATATATCAAGTTTCAGAGCAGCCAGGACTACATAGAGAGAACCTATTTCAAAATACTCTCCTTAAAACAAAACAAAACAAACCACCAAACGAACGAACAACAATGACAACAAAATAAACCTGGTACGGTAGTGACCCTCTGGTACAGGCATGGCTGCCTGAAGGCAAGTTGACCAATAGTGTCACTGGTGCCTCTGGGTTGAGAAGTCTGGGCTGGTTAGCTTTTTGTCACCTTGACAGAAGTCAGGGACATCTGGGAAGGGGAGTCCCAACTGAGAAAATGCTTCCATCAGATTGGCACATAGGCAGTTCTTGATTAATCATTGATGTGGGATGATTACAGAAGAGCAAGTGGGCGTGGACAGCAAGGCAGTAAGCAGCATCCCTCCATGGCCTCTGCCTCAGTTCCTGCCTCCAGGTTCCTGCCTCCAGGCTCCTGGCTCCAGGCTCCTGCCTCCAGGCTCCTACCCTGACTTCTTTTCGTGACCAACTACAAAGCTGTAAGAGGAAATAAACTCTTTTCTCCCTGAGTTGCTTATGGTATTTATCACAGCAATAGAAAGCAAAGTAGGACAAAGGCCTAAATCACAGAGCAGGCTTTGCTTTGGCACACTGAGGTGCTGAGGTTTAGAGAGACCTGAGAGATAATCAGTCAGGATGCTGATGAGTTAACTTTTGAGGGGCTTTGTGACCAAGGATCAGGGCAGAGGGAAGCAATGACGGAGCTGTCATCCAGATGAATGGTGTCTGTGCCTAGCACGTAAGTTTGGAAGTACTCAGGGAGAGAAGACTGGATGTTGGGGATGATCCTCTGTGACCAGCAGCCCTTTAAGAAAGTTCTGGAAGGGAGTCAGTTACTGGAAGGAAACTATGTCAGGGTGACCTTTAAGGTCCCTTCATTCCTATCATAATAGGCTTTCTAAGAAAAGCGAGATGTGATAATGTTCGGCATCAGAATTCACATGTCTAGTAACGGTAGCTTTTACTTTATTCAGTGGAGGGGAAAAGCTAAGTACTGCAGTGCAGTCGTGTTCCGGGCTCTAGGAGAATCGGGCAGCACATGTATGTAATTACACCCACACGTGTAAGACCAGAGGGGGAGGGGAGGGAGGGATGTTCGGCTGCATCCCTAGCAGGTGTCAGGCATTTTACACGACTACCCCGCTTCTTGCAACAACAGCTCTTCATTTCAGAGAGGCCACCTGCTCCAGATCCCTCATCTATCATCCCCCCCCCCCCCCCGACACCAGCTAGTTGAGTGAAGCCCCGCCTCGATACTGCTGAAATACAGACAAATGAGGGCGTTACACACAAACCAGGGAGTTCAGTATCTTGAAGAGCGAACCAGCCAAACACAAACGTCATGTCAACAGCAACAGGCACATTTGGTAGGACGATGTTGATTCCTAAACATTCTTCTCCATTAAAAACAAGCAGCGCCTCTTGAAAGAGTAGATGATGGGTTGGCTGGATCAAGAGTTATCTTGAAATGCCACAAGGTAAGGAGATACTCAATGAATGATACGCTCAACATAAGGGCGTTAGAGCTAGAGCAAGCCAGCTTTAGAGTACTCTATGGGCCGAGTATGAGATACAATTAAGGAGAGTTAAGTCATAACCTACTGAATAAGGTAAGAATGCATGCTCCCCATGGGTACAGGCTGAGCAGAGGAGAAAGGGAAGCAGGCCAGGACAGCAGAATGCCAACAATGCAGAAAGAACACTGGAATAGACCTATAGCAGCAGCCCTTAACAGTCCTCACAAACCCAGCTGGAATCAATAGTCCACATCATGTGTCAGGGAAAAGTCTGAGGAGCAGCAACATGATATTTATTTAGTCTCAGGAAGACCTTGTTGAGGGGCTGGGCAGGCGGCTCAGTGGTCAGTACTTGCCGCTCTTGAGGACCTGAGTTCAGTTCTCAGCATTCGTTTGGTGGCCCAAAGCCACTTATAACTCTAGTTGCAGGGATCTGACACCTTTTCCTGGTCCCTCGATGGATGGGGGGTTGAGGTCCAAGCAGCACCTGGAGTGCAAACACAATCAGCTCCAGCACCCTTGCTGGAGTCTTTCCTCAGGCAAATGACGAGGGCAGGGCAGGACACAGCTCCCATTCTGCACACGGGAAACCAAGGTTCAGTGAGGTTGCCAAGGTTGCCTTCAGTAACACCGAAGTGTGCGATTTTTTAAAAACTCTCTGGAAACCATCAGAAAACAGTTTCGTTGCCTCCTCCCCACCCCCCATATCAACTGAGTATTGGTCCAAGCCGGGTGGTGGTGGTGCAAGCCTTTAATCCCAGCACTCGGGAGGTAGAGGCAAGTGGATCTCTGTGAGTTCAAGGTCAGCCTGGTCTACAGCGTGAGTTCCAGGACAGCCAGGGCTACACAGAGAAACCCTGTCTCGAAAAACAAAACAAAGCAAAGCAAAAGGAGAACCAGCAACAGCAGCACCTAGACACTCCTTAGAAATTACGAATGAAGAGGCAATGTGATGGCTATCGGGTAGACGGGCTTGCTGCCAAGTCTGATCACCTGAGGTCAGTTCTCCAGACCTGTATGGGGGGCACAGTCTGTCTTCTGATTTCCTCCAACTTCCACTTGCGTGCACACCCACACAAAGTAAATAAGCGTGATTAAAAAAAAATCACCAGTGGGTAAGATTCATTTTTCCACGCTACCTCAGCCTTTTGAGCTAGACCCTGGGAGTGGCGCCCAATTTCTATTCATTTTTAATAATACGTGTGTGTGTGTGTGTGTGTGTGTGTGTCTGTTGGCGCCTGCGCTGAGTGTCAGAGAGTCAGTTCTCTCCTCCCACCATGTGGGTTCCCGGGATCAAACTCAAGTAGTCAGGCTTTATCTGCGGAGCCATCTCGTGGCCACTCTCTGTGTTTTTTTTTAAAGAAGTGTTCCTGGCGATCTTGATGCCCACACTCAAGTTAGACAATCACTCTAACGTTTCTTAGGGCAGCCGCCCCTTTGGAGAGGATTGCAAATCTGAACTTCGCACAGAAACAAGCTTCAAGTTTTTTCAAAAAGACACAATCATTACCGTCCCCGCTGCGTAGCCAAAGCCAGGAATCGCTGGGTTTCTTCCAGAACAGGCTCGCGGACAGGCTGGAGACAGAACAGGGGAGGGGCCGCCGCAGTTGGGAGGAGGGACTGATGACAATTTTTTTTTTTTTTCGTGGTTGACTAGGTTTTTTAGAAAAGCTACTTCTAAGGGTACATTAACCAGCCGGCGAATCCACTTGTTTCTGGGGGGAGGTGGGAGGTGGGGGCGGGGTGGAGCGTGGGGGCGGAGCGACCTTCTGCAGCTCCGGAATCGGTGCCTTCCTTCCAAGTGGCGCCGTGCGTCCCCCTCCCCCTCCGGATCTGCCCGGAGCGGCCGGGCGCTTAAACTCTGCTACCTAGCCAACCTCGCCACCTCCACGGCCTCCGACACCGGCCTCCTTGGAATCCCGGTGGCCGCGTCCAGCCAAGGGAATTCCCCCGACCGCGGCCAACTGCCCGCCCCCTCGGCACCCTTCCTCCGGGTCTCCACCCCTGCTGGGGCTGTCGGGTGCCAAAGGGAGGCTAGGGTGCCGCGGCTGGAAAATGAGCAGCGCCGGGGGGTAGGTAGCCCGGAGTTTGCAGGTAACTGGCGAGGGGCCTGGGGGGCCGCGCGCTTGGCGTCGCTGTCCCTGCCCTGCGCCACCGCGCGGCGACCTGCTGCGCCCTCGCGCGGGTTGCGCCCCGGGACCGCTGGACTCCGGCGGGGCGCGGCGGGTGGGGAAGGCACGCGGACCCCCTCCAACCCTAGGCGAGACCCCGAAACTTCCCGCTCGTCCCCCAGCCGCGGTCCCCCCTCCAGCGGCGCGCGGCGGCGGCGGCGGCACCGGCGGCGAGTGCGGCTCGCCCGGCGATGCCTGGGAAGATGGAGAAGTTTCTGCAGATCGCGCCGCACTCCCTGGCCATCGTCCTGGGCCCGACCGACGGCCCCGCGGAGAAGAAGCCCGCGGCCGTTCAGCCCCCGCCGCCGGTCCCCGCCGAACCCCGACAGCTCGCCCGACACCACATCGGCTACGAGATCTTCGCGGATTTCAAAGCGGAGAACATGCAGCACTTCTGGAACAAGAAGGTCACGGCTGCCGTGGCCGAGACTTTTTTCCTGGGCTGGATCGACGAGCAGGTCTTGCTGATCCAGGGCAAGGAGGAGCATCTGGAGGCGCTGCGCGAGGGCTGGACGCGCAGGGCGCTGCGGCCCCCCTCCGGTTTCCAGATCCGCTGCCTGGGTGAGTGCTGCCGCCCCGTCGTGCGGCGGGGGCTCCCGGCTCCGTCCTGCCTCCGGGGGGTGCCGAGCCCGCCCTTAGGCCGGGTTCCCGGGGTGCCAGGATCTTCCCACGAATCCTGGTCGGGAAGGGGAACGAGGGATCGGGGGACCTCTTGGTACTGCGGCACCTTTCGGCCCGGGCAACCTCCTGGCGGCGTCGGTGGCGCGCCCCGCGGGGCGGTGCCTGGGGCTGGCCAGGTAGGCGGCGCGGCGGCTCGCTGGTGTGCGCGGGTCCGGGCTCCGGGTGTCAGCTTCTCCGCGCCTGGCCAGGGCGAGGCAAGGCTCGGAGAAGCCGGGTTCTGGCGGCACCGGGGCTGCGTGGCCGGCCCTTCAGCTGCGCCTCGGTCCCCGGGACATCCTTTTCCAGGGAGGCGACCTCAGGGGGCGCGTCGCTCGGCTCAGGTGTGTTGGCGCCGCTCCCACCCGCCAGCATTTCCGTACCAGACAAAAGGTACCTTTCTTCTTAAATGCTTTGCTTGTGGTGCAACTTCCAAACGGTATTGTGTGACTGAAGGTGGAGGGGGGAAAAAAAGACAACAGAGAGGAACCAGGGTAAAAGTTTGATCTTTTCGTTTGTTGGTGGCGAAGGAAAATAAATAAATAAATAAATAAATTAATTAAAATATATATATATATATATTTATATAGTGAGCAGAGGTAGCTGGAGTGGGGTTTTAGTGGCCGCAACATTGCCCTGACTTGTATTTTTATTGCAGTGCTACTCAACATGTTTTTCTTAATCCCAGGCAACCTCGCCCGAAGAATACTTTTTAGTTTTGGACTTCAGGCCCGGTGGCTAAGGGCAAATAGAGCACATTGCGATGTTTTATGAAGCGATTCGATAAAGAAAGCATTCTTTCTAGTTCCAGGACTTAAAAATTCTTTTATGACATTTTGGGAGGAGGTCAAAAGTTCAAACAAAGTAAAAGTCTGTAAAGCGGCCTTCGTGGGCCCCCCCCCCCCCCCCCCCCAGGGTTGGCCTTTACCTGCTAATGTGTCTTCTACACGGATGGTAAACTAACAGCATTTTTTTTATTTCACTGCGTTTCATCTATTTTTGCGCAGCAGAGATTTATTTTTACAAAGACTTCTTTGAATTGAGCAGAGAAAAAGCTAGTGAAAGCTAGAAAAAGCTAGTGCTTCTTGCTGTGTCTCAGAGATCGCTCCCCTCCACCACCCCAGCTCAGCCCCTGTAATTAAGCTGCCTGCGTTGCTGAAGAGGCTGAGATGATTGCCTCTCTGGGTTGGTCTACCATTATTACCGTCACAGTGCAGGACTTGAACATTTTGGGGGAGGCTCGTCTCCCTCATGTGTGTGCACCTTCAAGACTTTTCTACAACATTTTGACAGTTTCCTTTGAATCTTGATCTCAGGATGCTTTTTTTTTTCTTTTTTTTAAATTTGGAAATTCTCCTGTACCATACAGTGCAATGTAAAAGCAGTGGATCAGACCTTAGGTACCCATCATATAGCTCGGAATTTGACAAACTGCACCCATGTTTCATCTATATGCCCTTTCCACTCCACCATTATGAGGTGGCTATCTCATGCTCTATAACATAGTTTCATTTGTAATCATTTCAGCCTGCTCATTTTTTTTTAAATGAAATTATGAGTATTTATAAGCAGATAGGAATTAGTGATCTGTCATATTCGCCAAAGAGAAGCATTTTGGTAACTTTGAAAGGCTCTGAATCCATCAGAGTCCTGCTATTTTGTGATCTTAGTTAATTACTTTATGGATGTGGGTCAGCCACAGAACCAGCGACACCAGTGAGCATTGCAGGAAGCATTCTTTTCCTACTTGCTGAACTTGAACCAAGCAGGGCTCTGAAATAGCTGTCAGCCAAAGGCTGGCTCACGTTTTATTCTTGTTACAGCACATGATGACGTTCACACAAGGGATCGTTTTCTAGAAGGTTCCTTAGCCTTCTCCAGGGCTGGTGAACTTGTAATGAACTCGTTCTCTCGCATTCTCCCGGTGAAGAATAGAAAGGAAGGCCCTGTCATTTGTCTCAGATGCCCATCGCCTGGGCAAGTGCCCCCAGGCCACTGTGGAGGAGAGGCTGCATAGTTGCTACCTTTATCCGGCTGCCGTTACGCTTCGGCTGAGGCTAGCCCATGAGTCCATGTTTTTTTTCACAGCTTACTGGAAAGAAGTGGGAAGCACCCACATTGGAAAATGCAAGCGTTTCGGTGTCTGTAATCCCCAAAGTATATGGTTCTAACCAGCTGTAAAATTTTCCGGTGAGGGTTGGACACCAAGGTGGTGATTACAGGATCAACCAAAAAGGAGGGAATTAAGTTGCTCAAAGGATAAGTAGTTTTAATTTGGCACGTTCAAATGCACCACTTAGAAATAACCTACTGGAATATTCTTAGAACTCCCCTACCGTGTGCGAATAGAATTGAAAGGTCACTTTTTATCTCTAGGATGCGCCTCAAAAGGGGATGTTTGTGTGGATGCAAGAAACTAGTAATTATTTTTAACTGACTGAGAATTTCAAACGTGCATATCATGTTTTAAAGTGGTTCTGTAAAACACGTTACATTAAGTTTGTTTGCTGGGGTTTTCCAGTGTCAGCTCTTGTCATTTCCTGAAGATACAAGAACTGATAAGGCATGCAGTTTCGGGGTTTCGGTTCTGACTGGAGGAACTGAGTATTTTTGGTGCTTCCAGGGCTCTGTCCTGTGCTTAGAATGAGCAAGGAGAGGTGAGCTTGCCGCCCTGTGAGCTGGCAGGAGAGGTTTCCTGGGGTGAGAGGAGCTAGGCGTCCGTGGGGGTGGGGACGGGCCAGGCCGGGGCGGGGCTAGAAAAGCCTCTGAGCTAGCAGGGAGCTGGAGCTTTCAGGGAGTGAGGGTCAGGGGCTGCACCAATCAAGCCCTGTTTGGAAGTGGGTGCGTGTGCAGTGGAGAGTGTTGTAAGGTGAGGGAAAGGTAAGCCGGGGTGGTGTGTGAGGAACGCGTGGAAGAATGGAGGCGTGGCCGGGGAGGGGGTGCTTTTGTGCAGAAAGAGGGAGTGACACTTTTGATGTGTGTTTTAATAAAGTTCCTAGGCTCAGAGAAGGTGACAGATGGGCACGGGGGAGGGGGGGCGGGGACAGATATGAGTTTATTATTATCTGCAGTCATGGGGACAAATGGGTCCCCTATTAGGATGTTTCTGTTATGTACACTGTACCTTAGGCCTTCCACAGTCATTGCCCTCTAAAGGATGTCGCCTGTCTGCTTGAGTCCAGGTACCTCCCTGCCTTAGCCACAGGCTCTTCCGCCTTTGTGTGGAGCCACAGGTTGGTTCCTCTATCCCCTTGCTCTGGGCTCCTGGGTTTTCCCTACCTGTTAATGCTCCTGGGTTCCTCTAACTTCAGATCCCAGGGAGGCTGAACTTTTTACACTGCCCTATTTGGTCCTTAAATATTCAAATAGTTGAGACCAACTATACTTTTAAGACCTAAATATATATCTTAGAGTGCAGTTAAAGCCAGTCTTTTGCATTAAAAAATGTTTAGAATATGTAGGTGTTAAGAGTTTATATTGCAATTAAAAATAATTTATCTGATTTTATATGCATTGGTGTGAAGGTGTCAGATCCCTTGGAATTGGTATTACAGACAGTTGTGGTGGGTGCTGGGAATTGAACCCAGGGGCTTTGGAAGAGCTGACAGTGCTCTTAACCACGGAGGCATCTCTCCAGTCCTATTTCCTCCCTCTTTCTTTTTCCTTCTTTTATAACACTGCGTTTTATGTAGCCCAGGCTAGCCTCAGACTTGCTGCCTAGCAGACTGTGGCTGTGAATTATTGGCCATTTTGTTTCTACATTGAGGGCTGAGATTATATGCCACCCTTGCTTTCTTAAAAGAAGCTTCTTCCGGAAGTAAAGCTGAAGACAACATGTTTTTAGAAGTTGTAGACTCTGGGCTGGAGAGATGGCTTACTGGCAAAGAGCACTGGCTGCTCTTCCAGAGGACCTGGGTTCAATTCCCAGCACCCACATGGCAGCTCACAACTGTCTGTAACTCCAGTTGCGAGGGATCTGACAGCCTACAGATGTACATGCGGACGAAACACGAATGCACGTTCAATAAATAAAGGATGAAAACGCAGCATAATCCAAAAAGCACTTGCACGCTCAAAAACAAAAATAGGAACTACTCATAGCTCAAGTACTTTAGATGAACTTAAAGTTGCTTAATTAATTGAATTACTTGCTCTAAAACTTCGATTCATCCAGCGACTGGAACACCTACTTCCTAGGCTCTTTCTGAGCGGCAAAAAAAGAGAATGAATCAGTTCTAGTCTAGGGGGCCAACAGACATTCAAAAATTTAAAGGAAAAAAGATAATACATTTGGGTTTTGCTCGATTGAACCCTGGGACTTTCGCTTAATGGGTTAGAACTCTGCCCGTAAGCCAAACCCCCAGGCCCCGAAATATGAATAAGGTAAATGGGAGTGCTAGGAACTGACCCCAGCAGCTAGATGCTAAAGTGCATGTGCGGAAGGCCCAGCTAGCTGCTAAAGCGCATGCGCGGAAGATCTCTGCTGCAGTGCCTCCTTTGGGTTAAGGTTTGGATGGTGGGGCAGGCGGGAGCTAGCGGTAGTGACTGAAGGGAAAGTCAGAGAGGCTGACCAAGGCTAGCCCAGTGGAGGCGTTCGGGATTCCATTCTGCCGTGAGCGGATGTGAATATTTAAGTGCAGAGTGTTGGATTAGACTTGTAGAAAAATCCAGAAGAATTTCATACACGGTCTTATTTCTTGAAGATGTTTGCTTGTCATATTAAAACCTCAGGATTAGTCTAAACAGGGGACAATGATGCAATTAAGCGTTCATTAATGTCCAGGCAGTCGTAAAAAACATTTTTATGAACCGCCTCTCTCCGGCTCCCCGACACTGTAAGCAAAGGCGTGTCTGCTTCAGTATGAGGAAATCCTCAGAGGGAACTTCAGGGCCTAGAGTCACCGAGAGGTTTGGTAAAGCCTTATACATTCCATTGCTTATTGTCAACTCATCCTTACGCCATTGTTTTCTTATGACCCCAAGCACGTGTTTGTCTCCTGGTGAGTCTGTTTTGAACTTGGGAAAGAAGCTGTATGGAAACAGAGACTTGTTGGTCGTCCTTAAAGTCGCTCGAGGCAGATGTTCTCAACCTGTGGGTCTCGACCCCTCCGCGGCCACGGATCAGGTGTCCCGCAGATCAGATTTTTCCTTATGATTCATTACAACGGCAAAATTACAGCTCTAAAGTAGCGATACAAATAATTTTACGGTTGGGGGTCACCGCAACGTGAAGGACGGTGTTAATGGGTTGCAGCATTAGGGAGGTTGAGAACCACTGATTTAAGGGAACATACAATGGAAAAGTAACAGGGTGTGAGAGGGGAGAAGGAGGGAGTGGTGAGAGATTGTGTGCTTGCTGTGGTAGGTCAAAACAA